CCAGAGCCAGCCAGCCAGGATCTGCCCCTCAGTCCGGTGCTGCCCCTTAGTCAGGTACTGTCCCTTAGCCCGGTGCTGCCCCTTAGTCCGGTGCTGCCCCTTAGCCCGGTGCTGCCCCTTAGCCCGGTGCTGCCCCTTAGTCCGGTGCTGCCCCTTAGTCCGGTGCTGTCCCTTAGTCCGGTGCTGCCTCTTCGTCCGGAGCTGCCCCTTTATCCAGGTGGGTTAGTTTGGAGGGTGGTCAGTGGGAGGAGGCTACTTAAGCAGTTTGTGACTTTGGTGGGGTGGGGATCACGACCGGGGCCAGAGCCGCCACCGTGGACAGACGCCCACCCAGACCCTCCCCTAGACTTTATGTTGGTGCGCCCGGGGTTCGCACCTTTAGGGGGGGGTACTGTCACGCTCTGGTTCCGGGACGTTGTTTATGAACCAGGGTGTGTTCGTTTTGTTGTGTGCTGTTTGGTTGGGGTGTCTAGGTGGTTGTCTTCCTTGTTTGTATTCATGTGACTCCCAATCGGAGGTAACGAGTGACAGCTGTCGGCTCGTTATCTCTGATTGGGAGCCATATTTAAACTGTGTGGTTTCACTTTGGTTTTGTGGGTTTTTGCTCCGTATTCAGTATTTGTAACTGTGGACTTCACTAGCCGTCTTTGTTTATTGTTTTTGTCGTTCGTGTCTTTACTCTAATAAAGTCATGTTCACTCAACGCGCTGCGCTTTGGTCTGCTCCTTTTGAAGACGGTCGTGACAAATACAAAATAAATACAGTCTTAAACCCAAAATGTCATAGTAACACATAATTTTCTGTTTAGAGGAAATAGTAATAACAAATAAGCATAACCCAAATTTGCCAAAAAAATGATTAGGAGAAGAAATGACAACCTTTACAACAAAATGACGTACGAGTCTCCTTGTCTAAAGTCAACAGCTTAAATGCTAGTCTGATTGATGACAAGCAAATGATGGACACTGTCAAGAGAGGAAGGTCGTCTGCTACTGTTGCATTGAGCCCAACATGGTGGAAGAACGATAGCTAATTACTGTATGAGAGGAGGCAACCTATTCAAGCCCTCCTCCCCATCATACCCACTAATCTCTCTCCATTTCTAACTCTCCATTTGTGTGTAGAGAGATTGCCTTGTTCAACCATCCCACCTCAACTCTAGAGCCCTGGACCTACCAACCTGTCTGTCTTGTTTATGCAGTAAGTGGCTAATTAGAATCTTTAAATTAGATTGTGTTGATGTGTTCTGGTCCACAGTTGACATTGTTGGTAAATAGAATATTGAGCTTATTTCATCTTTTTTTGGCACACATTTGTTTGCATCCCTGTTAGTGAGCATTTCTCCTTTGCCAAGATAATCCATCCACCTGACAGGAATGGCATATCAAGAAGCTGATTAAACAGCATGATCACTACACAGGTGCACCTTGTGCTGGGGACAATAAAAGGCCACTCTAAAATGTGCCATTCTGTCACACAACACAATGCCATAGATGTCTCAAGTTTTGAGAGAGCGTGCAATTGACATGCTGACTGCAGGAATGTCTACCAGAGCTGTTGGCAGATAATCTAATGTTCATTTCTCTACAATAAGCCGCCTCCAACGTTGTTTTAGAGAATTTGGCAGTGTGTCCAACCAGCCTCACAACCGCAGACCACGTGTAACCACGCCAGCCCATGACCTCCACATCCGGCTTCTTCACCTGCGGGATTGTCTGAGACCAGCCACCCGGACAGCTGATGAAATTGTGGGTTTGCAAAACCGAATAATTTCTGCACAATCTGTCTCAGGGAAGCTTATCTGGGTGCTCGTCGTCCTCACCAGGGACTTGACCTGACTGCAGTTCGGCGTCGTAACCATCTTCAGTGGGCAAATACTCACCTTCGATGGCCACTGGCATGCTGGAGAAGTATGCTCTTCACGGATGAATCCTGGTTTCAACTGTACTGGGCAGATGGCAGACAGCGTGTATGGCGTCGTGTGTGGGAGAGCGGTTTGCTGATGTCAACGTTGTGAACAGAGTGCCCCATGGTGGCGGTGGGGTTATGTTATGGGCAGGCGCAAGCTACGGACAATGAACACAATTGCATTTTATTGATAACAATTTGAATGCACAGAGATAACATGACGAGATCCTGAGGCCCATTGTTGTGCCATTCATCCGCCGCCATCACCTCATGTTTCAGAATGATAATGCACAGCCCCATGTCGCAAGGATCTGTACACAATTCCTGGAATCTGAAAATGTCCCAGTTCGTCCATAGCCTACATACTCACCAGACATGTCACCCATTGAGCATGTTTGGGATGCTCTGGATCGACCTGTACGACAGCGTGTTCCATTTCCCACCAATATCCAGCAACTTCGCACAGCAATTGAAGAGGAGTGGGACAGCATTTCACAGGCCACCACAATCAACAGCCTGATCAACTCTATGTGAAGGCTCATGTGTCGCGCTGCATGAGACAAATGGTGGTCACACCAGATACTGGCTGGTTTTCTGATCCACGCACTTACCTTTTTATAAGGTATCTGTGATCAACAGATGCAAATCTGTATTCCCAGTCATTAGAAATCCATAGAGTATGGCCAAATTAATTTGTTTCAATTGACTGATTTCCTTATGTGAACTGTAACTCAGTAAAATCTTTGAAATTGTTGCATGTTGCGTTTAAGTTTTTGTTCAGTGTATATTTGGCTGTGTTCTGATGTAGACAACAAACTATAAAGTTTGAAATATTTTTTGTTGTACAGTCCATTGAAGTGTAGTAGGCCTACATGTTATGTAAATGTTCATATCAAAAACAAAGCTAGTTTTCATCATCAATTCATTCAGTTGTCTGTGAAATTGGGGACAAATAAGAGGCTGAGAAAAGAAGACTGCCCTCTGAAGGGGCCGAGTGGGCAACTGTCATTGAGAGCCAAACTGTGCCACATGATGACCAGCAATATAATTGGGCATGGTATACAGTATGGAGGGATGACAGAGGTGATTGCAGAATTTCCTCTGTTATTTGCTTTATTCACATGCAACTTGTAAGATAACTAATGCTACTACTTGTAATCATCACAAATACAGTAAGATCATCATGACAAGGTGATAATGAGTGTTCAGCATATTTTATTTACAGATACAGCAACAGAGAAACAAGTGATGTGCTAGCAGAAACCCCCTGGGTAATTTTTTGATTTCACCTTTATTTGATCAGGAAATCATAATGCTGGTGCCTATGGATGTCTCTCCCTGCACCTCTACCCTCTGAGGCCCTCACTGTGACACTTCCAGCTGAGACCCAGGCAGCAGCAATAACAAGCAAATTAAAAAAACACAGGCATGGCTCCATCTCATCAAATCAAATCAAATTGTATTTGTCACATGCGCCAAATACAACAGGTGTAGACTTTACAGTGAAATGCTTACTTACAAGCCCTTAACCAACAATGCAATGCAAATAGTCTGGGTAGCCATTTCATTAGATGTTCAGGAGTCTTATGGCTTGGGGGTAGAAGCTGTTTAGAAGCCTCTTGGACCTAGACTTGACGCTCCGGTACCGCTTGCCGTGTGGTAGCAGAGAGAACAGTCTATGACTAGGGTGCCTGGAGTCTTTGACCATTTTTAGGGCCTTCCTCTGACACCGCCTGGTATAGAGGTCCTGGATGGCAGGAAGCTTGGCCTCAGTGATGTACTGGGCCGTACGCACTACCCTCTGTAGTGCCTTGCGGTCGGAGGCCGAGCAGTTGCCATACCAGGCAGTGATGCAACCAGTCAGGATGCTCTCGATGGTGCAGCTGTAGAAACCTTTGAGGATCTGAGGACCCATGCCAAATCTTTTCAGTCTCCTTAGGGGGAATAGGTTTTGTCGTGCCCTCTTCAGGACTGTCTTGGTGTGCTTGGACCATGTTAGTTTGTTGGTGATGTGGACACCAAGGAACTTGAAGCTCTCAACCTGCTCCACTACAACCCCGTCGATGAGAATGGGGGCGTGCTCGGTCCTCTTCTTTTTCCTGTAGTCCACAATCATCTCCTTTGTCTTGATCACGTTGAGGGAGAGGTTGTTGGAACCACACGGCCAGGTCTCTGACCTCCTCCCTATGTCTCGTCGTTGTCGGTGATCAGGCCTACCACTGTTGTGTCATCGACAAACTTAATGATAGTGTTGGAGTCGTGCCTGGCCATGCAGTAATGAGTGAACAGGGAGTACAGGAGGGGACTGAGCACGCACCCCTGATGGGCCCCCGTGTTGAGGATCAGCGTGGCGGATGTGTTATTACCTACCCTTACCACCTGGTGGCGGCCTGTCAGGAAGTCCAGGATCCAGTTGCAGAGGGAGGTGTTTAGTCCCAGGGTCCTTAGCTTAGTGATGAGCTTTGAGGGCACTATGGTGTTGAACACTGAGCTGTAGTCAATGAATAGCATTCTCACATAGGTGTTCCTTTTGTCCAGGTGTGAAAGGGCAGTGTGGAGCACAATAGAGATTGCATCATCTGTGGATCTGTTGGGGTAGTATGCAAATTGCAGTGGGTCTAGGGTTTCTGGGATAATGGTGTTGATGTGAGCCATGACCAACCTTTCAAAGCACTTCATGGCTACAGACGTGAGTGCTACCGGTCGGTAGTCATTTAGGCACGTTACCTTAGTGTTCTTGGGTTCAGGAACTATTCTGGTATTACAGACTCAGACAGGGAAAGGTTGAAAATGTCAGTGAAGACACTTGCCAGTTGGTCAGCGCATGCTCGGAGTACACATCCTGGTAATCCATCTGGCCCTGCGGCCTTGTGAATGTTGACCTGTTTAAAGGTCTTACTCACATCGGCTACGGAGAGCGTGATCACACAGTCGTCCGGAACAGCTGATGCTCTCATGCATGTTTCAGTGTTACTTGCCTCGAAGCGAGCATAGAAGTAATTTAGCTCGTCTGGTAGGCTCGTTGTCACTGGGCAGCTCTTGGCTGTTCTTCCCTTTGTAGTCTGTAATAGTTTGCAAGCCTCATGCTTTGGCATTGATGTCTGATGCATGGTATATGGAACTACCTGTAAAACTGATTTTAAAAAAGTGTAATTATGATCATTCTTCTTAGAAGCATTAACATAATACATGATCTACAAACTGTTGGACCAGGCTGGGGTACAGTGACAGGGGGCAGGATGTCCAATAACATGGCTAAGATTGCAGATGCCCGCAAGACAGTGGAACAGCTGAAACTGGAAGTCAACATCGAAAGAATGATGGTGAGCAAGGAATGGTTATTAGGCACAAGAGCTGGAGTATCTGAATCTCTTTATGTTACCAAAAAAGCTGTCCATTATCAATGTACATTGTAAATAGAGCACATTGGCTCCCACTCTCCAATCTGATAGCTTTGTCCTTGTTAATCATGTGTTCTATGTGCAGGTGTCCAAAGCAGCGGCTGATCTGATGGCCTTCTGTGAGGACCCTCTGGTGACACCAGTGTCATCCTCTGAGAACCCTTTTCGGGAGAATAAATGATTCTGTGCAATACTCTAATCCCCATACCTTCAAACAAATTGAAGTTTTTAAATACAATAACCCCAAGTTTTGTGTAATTATTAACAATAATTAATTGACAGTTCTAAGGACAAATAATGATAATACATTGAAGAACACTTGAACAGTTTGGTTTTGTTAGGCCTAGTCAGTGTGATGATTTTGTATTTAAAAAGCTGTATATGTAAATTGATCTGATTGACTGAAATAAAACATTATTTACGATGGGAGCAAAGTTCATTTGAGGCCTACAAGCCTAGCCTACATTCTGGGCTCTCCCTTTCAGTACACTGCCCTGACAGTGAGAGATTACACATTAACTTAAATTGCACCTAAGTCGTCCTAAGAACCAGCAATACTTTACTGTAAAATACCTAACATCTAAGAGTTCTGTGATCCTTTTCAGAGGTTAAACACCATTAGTGCCAATAACAGCCCAATTTCTGTTATTTTGAAATTGACAACTTTAACAACAAAATAGCTATATTATATTGAGGATCAAACAGTTCGCATATAAAACCAGTATTTTATTATTGAAGTAGGCCTACATTGCAGGTGCCTCACGTCATTCCATTGATGCATTACAATGATCAAAGAAAAATATATTAATTAAATGAATAGATAATCAACATAAGCATATCATGTGTTATCCATTTGTAATTAGTACCCTGGGGGCTGTGCACCTTGGTCGCAGTCAAGTCATGCAAAGCAAGCAAGGGCGGTGTCACATGCTTACCTTACAGATAGACGAGTAGGTGTGTGCGGACACAGGTACTAGGCCCACTGTTAGTTTTATATTCATCTCAACTAACAGGATTCACTGATTTGAGAGGGAGAGGTCGGCCAACTGCGCTGTGACAACGAACAAGGTATGAGCATTAAAAATGGTCTCTGTATTTTTGTGGTTGTTGTGTAACTTATTAATAGTGGAGTAAAAACATGTTTCTTTCATGATTTATGAATTAAGGGTTGAAAGTCTATGGCGTTAACCTGGCAAAGGCCCACGTCAACAAGTCTGAAGGCTACGTTTATAGGGCCAGACAGAAGAGGAGAAATTACTCAATTTAAACTAAAATCAATGTTCCTTAGTTTTTAATTCTGATGAGAAAATACAAATTGACAGAAAATAAGACTATATTCTACGCAATGTTGAAATCGAATGCGAGGCGACCAGTCAAGAAAACCTTGTCTGACAAATAGCCTACCTACCACTCCTCTTTTATGTTAAAGATGCACTCTAAAATGTTTTTATCATTTCAACCAGTTGTTTTGAAAGTGGCGCTCATGAGCCAAAAGTGGTCCCCGTTTTTTGTGTACTACGTCATCAAATTGTGTATTACATCATCCATTTCGTAAGATATGTCACGGCATGCAAATGATTATTATTAAATATATTTTTTGCAATTCATATGATAGGTTATGAATCCAATTCGTACTATATATTAAACATTTGTTGTGCTTAAGATCCTGGAGTGCATCTTTAAGTCAACACACACACACACACCTGATTCATATGTCCTCTGTCGAAACGACAGTAAGTTTTAACCAACCAAAGGTATGCAATACATTACATGACAATGAAAGTAACAAATATAAAGGATGGCACTTTAGTCTACTGTAATGCCTAATAAACAAATAACAAACCGGTATTCACTGCAAGTGACATCCCACCAGCATGACTTAAAGGACAATGATATCACCTACATCACTCACACAGCCAGTTTTCAAACTCTTGTTTTTCAAGTAAAGACAACAGCAAACTGTAGCCTACCTCTCAGCACATAGTCAACACACTATTTTTAATAAGGTACATTCATGATAATACCAGGTGCCTTTTTATAGGTTTGCAGTCAATATCTCACAAACAAAATATTTTATGACATATTTTAACATCAATTATCTGACATGGCTGGAAACTTCAAACTGGTGTGCAAACTACAGAATTGTCTTGCCTTGTTCTGCTCTACTATCCACCTACAGTTTATTTTTACCCTTCTCTCCTTTGGGACTGCACAAATTGATATGCATTTTTTATGATATGCATCTTTGAGAACTGGTATCTATCTTGTGGAGGGTCAGATTAACGAAAGGGCACGCAGAGCACATGCCCCTGGGGCCCACGACCTCCAGGGGGCCGACAACCCCCTCCAAAAAAGGGCACGTGCCCTGCGTGCCCATTTGGTAATCCGGCCCTCAAACCATTTGTCTTCAACACATCATAAGCAATGGCAAAATGTGTGGAATTGCAGGAAATTAGCTTTAAAACTACCTGGCGGTAGGTGCCCCAGGGCCCCAAATGCTGTAATCCGGCCCTGTCCTGGATGCATGGGAGGAAATACCTGTCCTAAATTGACCTCACAAGATTAACAAGTACTATATTCTGGATTACTAATGACTGAATAGGCCTATTTTAAAATAATTCCATTTGCATTGTTTAGTTCATACACACCTTTTTGCAAATTGTTTTAAAAGTCGAGTGAAAATGGTAAAGTTGATTAAACAATTATTTGCCATGGTACTTACTTTTATCACAAAACAACTTTCCTATAATGTATTTCACATTTAATGCATACTTCATATTTGTCATTTGTCAGGGTTGACAGGAGGATGGCCAACTTCAAGGGACATGCTCTTCCTGGCAGCTGCTTTCTGCTGTTAGGCCTGTGTTGGTCAGTGAAGTACCCTCTCCAACACTGCTGGAGGAGGCGTCAGCCTAAAGGAAGTCAAAAACTGCCCCTGTTCTTTAACAGAATAGACTTAATTGAGGGGGCACTCATGATTTTCTTTGCCTTTGTGGGTGAGTGTCTTCCCTGGTGCACTTATTTGGACTGCTCTCTCTTTAAGATCTTACACTGTGGAATCTCTCAACCACTGAATGATCTGCCAGAGGCTTGCTGTTTGACCCTGATGTTGTCCTGTCATTCTGTAGGCATCATGGCAGAGCAGTTTGTTCCCGATGGGCCCCATACCCACCTGTACAACAGAGAGACCCAGTCCTGGGTGAAGCTGATGAACTGGCAGCATGGCACTATGTACCTCTTCTTCGGCATCTCTGGAGTTGTTAAAGTCCTCAGTGTGTCATCGCTTCCAGTCCCACTTGGTCTTGACCGCCTTGCTCTCTCACTGGCTTTTTTTATTGAAGGTACAGTATCAAAGGTTGAATGTTATTTGTTACATATCCATTACCAGACTAGAGGCGGATTTTAATTAGCAGGTATTCCTACCATCAGTATAATTGTCATATTTTTATTTTTATTTGCTCTTTGACCTGTAGACACTGATTAGATGTTGTCTGCATATTGTATTAATATTCTAGGATGTTCCACTCCCCTCCAGGGTTCCTGTTTTACTTCCATGTGCACATGCGCCCTCCTCTGGATACCCATATCCACTCCATGCTGTTTGTGGCAGTGTTTGGTGTAGCGGCCAGCACCCTGTTAGAGGTGTTCATGAGAGATAACATCGTACTGGAGCTGCTCAGGGCCAGCCTGACCATCCTGCAAGGCTCCTGGTTCTTTCAGGTAAAACAGTAACCACCACCAAATGAACCACTATCATTTTCAAATGAGTCAATCTCATCACGCTCACACAGAGAAACTGAGCAAAGTGTGTGCTCTTTCAGATTGGATTCGTGCTGTACCCATTAAACGGAGTACAGTGGGATCTGCAGGCACACGATAACATCATGTTCGTCACCATGTGCTTCTGCTGGCATCTAGCTGTGGCCCTGCTGATCGTTGGCATCAACTACTGCATTGGCTGGTGGTGAGCATCTTCCTTTTTATCAATATTTTTTACATTTTTATATCGCCTCTTTAATAGGTCAGTTAAACTTCATAAAATAAACTAACTCATTACATTGACATAACTTGGGTAAATTCCCTGCCTGTATGAGCCAACTCTTATCCATGGCTTTTTCTTCTCTGGTCCTAACAGCTGTATACAAAGATGTTCAGGAAGAGGAAGTGACATAGAGATCAGGATGAGAAAGACATCCAGCTCCCAGAAGGCTCTGCTACAGGAGTCAGATGAAGATTAGACAGACGAATCATGAAGTGTGTACAGTAGTAGATCACTTATGGGATTCTCCACAATTGTTTGTCTGAAATTTGATTAACTGGTTTCTCAGGTTTGTATCCCTGCTTCTGTGTATATTTGTATTTTGAGTGACATTATCTTATCAATTAAATAATGACATGCATTGTCGAGTTCAGATTCAAGCCAAATTAATTGTAAATAAAATGATTTACTGAGCCCTGACAAATGTAATGTAATTCAAAGTATAAAAGCTAATAACTGATTTTCAAGACTGGGGAGGTTGAGGGAAAACAGGGGAGAGAATTTCAACATTTCTTCCCTGTTGTGAAACATTAACATCGGGGGTGTATTCATTATGTTGTGCAACGGAAAACCATTTCAAACCAAAAAGAGCAAACGGAACGAAACGGGGATAGGACCTACCTGAATTTGGCCAATAGAAACTCTCGTTTTCGTTGCAAAACGTTTTCCGTTTGGAGTAAACGTTTTGCAACAGACCAAACATTTGCAACGGAATCCGACTAATGAATATACCCGGCATCGATAATGTTACCTGACATGGTTTCCTCTCCTCTTAAGACAGTTTAAACATTTGCATACTCGTCCCGCCTATGGCTATACAGCAGGGGTCTCCAACCCTGTTCCCGGAGAGCTACCGTCCTGTAGGTTTTCGCTCCAAAACCTACAGGACGGTTGCAAGGTTGGAGAGCCCTGCTATAGAGCAACATGCTTCTTTCCCTCCGGAAAACAGAATGTCTAACGGATTGTCAGAGATAATATATTTTCAATAAATCAAAAATACTTTTTTGAGGTACGAGGTAGTTGAGGTAGTTATTTTTTTTTTTTAGGTACGAAATACTCTTACTTACATGACCACATAAAAAATACTGTATTACTACCAGATTCATCATAAATTAACAAAAACAAATGAGACAAGAATATAGAGAGAGATTACATTCTGTGATCATATTTTCATACCATGCCCAAAAGATGGAACTACAATCTTTGCACTCGAATCTTCAGTAATCGCAATGATAAGGCCCTCCATAGACTTATCTTATCACTGCATCCATGACATTAAGGATACCTAGAACAATGTATCTGCTTACTGGATTAGACATTATACTAGTCAGGCGTTAAAGTGGATGGAAATAAATAGCAATCAACTTGAAATGTTTTATATAGATCAAAGGGTCGGGTGAAAATACGCCTCCAGTCTGTTTACCATGAGTAGAAACTAGGGTAGTTTCAGTCTAGTTTGCATTGTGACATATGCAAGCTGTTGACCGAGCCTTGCCTGACACTTACTGTAATTAAGCTTACAATTAAATTAATTATATTTCATAGTGATGCAAACTCTTAGCCCTGCACAACAGATACAGTGCCTTCAGAAAATATTCACACCCCTTTACTTATTCAAAATGTTATGTTAGATACAGCCTGAATTTAAAATTGATTACATTTAGATTTTTGTCACTGGCTTACACACACAATACCCCATAATGTCAAAGTGGAATTATGTATTTCGAATTTTTACAAATTAATTAAAAGTGAAAAGCTGAAATGTCTTGAGTCAATAAGTATTCAACACCTTTGTTATGGCAAGCCTAAATAAGTTCAGAAATAACAATGTGCTTAACAAGTCACATAAGTTGCATGGACTCACTCTGTGTGCAATAACAGTGTTTAACATGATTTTTGAATGACTACCTCATCTCTGTGCCCCACACACAAAATTACAGTTGAAGTTGGAAGTTTACATACACCTTAGCCAAATACATTTAAACTCAGTTTTTCACAATTCCTGACATTTAATCCTGGTAAAAATTCCCTATTTTAGGTCAGTTAGGATCACAACTTTATTTTAAAAATGTGAAATGTCAGAATAACAGTAGAGAGAATTATTTCTTTCAGCTTTTATTTATTTCATCACATTCCCAGTGGGTCAGAAGTTTACATACACTCAATTAGTATTTGATAGCATTGCCTTTGAAAGGTTTAACTTGGGTCAAACGTTTCGCGTAGCCTTCCACAATTTTGGCCCATTCCTCCTGACAGAGCTGGTGTAACTGAGTCAGGTTTGTAGGTCTCCTTGCTCGCACACGTTTTTTCAGTTCTGCCCACACATCTTCTATAGGATTGAGGTCAGGGCTTTATGATGGCCACTCCAATACCTTGACTTTGTTGTCCTTAAGCCATTTTTCCACAACTTTGGAAGTATGCTTGGGGTCATTGTCCATTTGGAAGACCCATTTGCGACCAAGCTTTAACTTCCTGACTGATGTCTTAAGATGTTGCTTCAATATATCCACATCATTTTCCTTCCTCGTGATGCCATCTATTTTGGGAAGTGCACCAGTCCCTCCTGCAGCAAAGCACCCCCAAAGCATTATGCTGCCACCCCCGTGCTTCACGGTTGGGATGGTGTTCTTCGGCTTGCAAGCTTCCCCCTATTTCCCTCCAAACATAACGATGGTCATTATGGCCAAACAGTTCTATTTTTGTATCATCAGACAAGAGGACATTTCTACAAAAAGTACAATCTTTGTCCCCATGTGCAGTTGCAAACCGTAGTCTGTTTTTTTAATGGCGGTTTTGGAGCAGTGGCTTCTTCCTTGCTGAGCGACCTTTCAGGTTATGTCGATATAGGACTTGTTTCTCTGTGAATATAGATACTTTTGTACCTGTTTCCTCCAGCATCTTCACAAGGTCCTTTGCTGTTGTTCTGGGATTGATTTGCACTTTTCGCACCAAAGTACATTAATCTCTAGGAGACAGAACGCGTCTCCTTCCTGAGCGGTATGACGGCTGCGTGGTCCCATGGTGTTTATACTTTGTTTATACTTTGCTACTGTTGTTTGTACAGTTGAATGTGGTACCTTCAGGCGTTTGGAAATTGCTCCCAAGGATGAACCAGACTTGTGGAGGTCTACAATTTTTTATCTGAGGTCTTGGCTGATTCCTTTTGATTTTCCCATGATGTCAAGCAAAGAGGCACTGAGTTTGAAGGCAGGCCTTGAAATACATCCACAGGTACACCTCCAATTGACTCAAATGATGCTTCTAAAGCAACAAAGTAATAGCACTAAAGTAATACTGCAAAACATGTGGCAAAGCAATTCACTTTTTGTCCTGAATACAAAGTGTTGTGTTGTATTGGATTTGCCCTAAACATATTACTTAGTACCACTCTCCATATTTTCAAGCATAGTCGTGGGTATGCATCATGTTATGGGTATGCTTGTAATCAGTGGAGGCTGCTGAGGGGAGGACGGCTCATTGTAATGGATGGCCCGGAATAAATGGAATGGTATCAAACACGTGGTTTCCATGTGTTTGAGAACATTCCATGCACTCCATTCCAGCCATTATTATGAGCTGTCCTCCCCTCAGCAGCCTCCACTGCTTGTAATCGTTCAGGATAAAAAAAAGCAATGGAGTTAAGCACTGGCAAAATTCCTAGAGGAAAACCTGCTTCAGTCTGCTATCCACCAGACACTGGGGGATGAATTCACATTTCAGCAGGGAAAATCTACACTGGAGCTGCTTACCAAAGACAGTGAATGTTCCTGAGTGGCCTAGTTACAGTTTTTACTGAAATCTGCTTGAACATCTATGGCAAGACTTCAAAATGGTTGGCTAGAAATGATCAGCAACCAATTTGACAGAGCTTGAAGAATGTTGAAATGAATAATGGGGAAATGTTGCACAATCCAGGTGTGGAAAACTCTTAGAGACTCACAGCTGACTCACAGAAAGACTCAAGAAGCTGTAATCGTTGCCAAAGGTGCTTCTACAAAGTATGGACTCAGGGGTGTGAATACTTATATTTATGTATTTAATCTTCAATAATTTGCTAACATTTCTAAAAACATGTTTTCACTTTGTCATTTTGGGGTATTGTGTGTAGATGGGTGAGAAATAAAATATATTTAATCAATTTTGAATTCAGGTTGTAACAACAAAATGTGGAATAAGTCAAGGGGTATTAATATTTTCTGAAACCAATGTCTCTAAACGGTACATGCTGTCCTGGGATTACTCCTCTGTTCATCTACTGCAAACTCTCCAGACATCAATGTCCTCCCAAACATTGAGAGAGCAGAGATGCGCTACGGCCCCCTAGCATCACTTGCCTCTGAAGCACAGGTTGTAGTACTGCACAGAGCAGTAGCAGGCTCTGGGATTGCGTCTCACTGTGCCGGTGGTGGTGGGGCAGGGGTTAATTTGGGTGAGTGTGTGGTGGTGACTATGACAGTGGACACAGACTTGGGGAAGCCTGCTGCAGAGCGCTGCTGGAGCTGCTGGGCTGGTACCGTCTGGATGCACACCTGGAGGAGACAGACACATCAACCACTCCTACCAACTACTATACCTGATGCCTAGGGCCAGGCGTTTTCCCCCAGTCACATGGTCAGGAAAGGCTCCTGCATACTAAACGTTACTTTGGGAGCTGGGTGAGTATTGAATAACATGTGAGCTGCTGACCTGTGTGGCCTGGCCCTGTTGCTGCAGCTGCTGTAACTGTTGCGCCGTGACAAAGCTGACTGGCTTATTCCCAGCTATCAGCTTGGTTCCTGCAGGCATGTTGGTGAGGATGATGTTCCTGCCCAGACTGCAGAGACCAGAGAGAGACACACCAGTCAGTCTAAACCAGGCTGCTTATTGCCATGGGGAAGACTGACACATATATTGTTACAGACAATTTAGGCTGAACTGAACATGAGGACTCACTTCGTACTGATGTTTCCTTTCATTATGGGTGTGGTCATTACACTCTTGCTTTTCAGTGGTTGGCTGAGGACAGACAGAGGCACTGTGATCCGAGCTGGTAACTTCCCCTGGGGAAATAAAGAGGGGCAGAATCATTGGATGACCATTTCAAAGGTGGGGTGGTGGGGGCTATAGAGAATGTGGCTATAAAGAATGTCTTGAAAATAAAATATATCCCTTTATGTTACGCCTCCCAACAAAGGCAGACTTATTACTACAGTGCTGTTATTACACAACCATCCTGAATCCCACAGTAAATATAAGAGGAGAGTTAATAATCATGTTGATAAAGCTGTGGGGCTTACTGGTTGTGTGGACACCACTGTGGCTGTGACAGGGACCTGGCAGACAGTAGCTGTGGCTGTTCCCAGAGTCAGACAGCCTGAGGCCACTCCACTGGTGGCTATGGTGACAGTCGCGGCCCCAGTGGAGACTGGTTTGCTGCCAGTGGTGGTTGTCATGGTGATGGTTTGACCCTGTTTCTGTGGGATGACCCCGAGGCCGGGCATGATCCGTATGGTGGTGCCACACTTCGAGTCAGACGAGGAGACGGTGGAGAAGGTTCTGGTCTTCTGCTCGGCCATAGTGACTGCCAGGGTGGGCATCAGACAGATAGTGTCCCCTGCAGCCTTCAACAGGGTGGTGGTGCCAGTGGAGGCCTTGCTGGTCAGAACTTCACCCGAGGAGGAGGTTGGGCTGGAGGAGTGGTGGGGTGGGGTCACACGAAGAGTAGCAGATATGCTCTTGGTAGTGGCAGTGCCTAACATGTCGGGGGTGAGTTTGACGGTGGTGACGGGGCACTTGGTGAGGGTGGCCATCATGCCAGGTGTGATCCGAAGCACCGTCTGTCCTTTAGAGTCTGTGGTGATGGAGGAAGGGGGCAGGCGGAGCACATCTTTGCCTTGGATGCGGAGATTCGTATCGGTTATTGGAATTCCTGCTCCACCTTGAGCCTTCATGCCCATCTGGCCTGTGATGGCCACCTTTAGAGACAGAAATTATGTGAGCATGAAACACAGACAATACTCTCAACAAATGAAAAAAGAAGGCTCTTTCATGAACACATTATAGTGAAACTATAAAGATCAAAATGTTCTCTCTGAAAGCTTATTTACATTTATAAACTTTGTGGTTCGAGCCCTGAATGCTGATTGGCTGACAGCCGTGGTATATCAGGGGTATGACAAAACATTTAATTTTTACTGCTCTAATTACGTTGGTAACCAGTTTATAATAGTAATAAGGCACAGTGGATTATAGTCATTGTTGTTAATTACCATGTTTTCTGCACTAAACTATGTAGAATATTAGCCTGTTTGAAACTACAGCTATGTACTACATCGCACAGTTCATGCTTGATCTGATTTATTTATACAGAAACTGCTCATCGAGATCACAGGAAAATAACAAACAAAATGGAACTCAAATAATTTAACAGATGTTGGTCAGTTGTTAAAAAACAAAAAATAACCAATGTTTTGGTTATTCGCTCAAAACTACTGATTAATACAGTTAAATATTCTGCAAATTCCAGGTAAATATTTTAAAGCTCTTCTCAAAATCGATTTAACACTGAATAGACTCAGTTCTCCCGATAGTCAGCATAGGATTGTTTTGTTGGTAACAGAATGGTCAGTGACTCACCTGTGTGGCGCCCATGGTGACTGGCACTCTGATCTGATGAGGGGTCTGGTGCACCAGCGTGTCCTGCTGTCCTATTGCTGTCTGGGCTGAGACCACTCTTACCTGAGGCAGAGAGCCTGACTGGTGGCCCACTACCCTGGCTGAGTAATGGGAGGTAGCTGGCTGAGAGACCTGTGGGCCAGACTGGCTGCTGGACAACAGGGTCCCCAGCTGGGGCATGTGGGGAGGAGACACTAAGAGAACACTAAGGGTGAAGAGAGCAGGGTATTAGTACTTCCATAACATCAAGAAGATACAAATACTGTATGTGTTCGATAATTGAGCCTGATAAGACTTCATCTATGGAAGCTGTGTTAAACTGACCCAGGACTGAATCTGGCATCCCAGCTTTAGTGGGGGTTGTGGCTACAGGGGCGAGGGGTGATTTGGGGGTTCCAGGGGTGGTGGGAGTTGGGGACATGGGACCTCCCATATCACCTGCTTCCAGGCCTCCAGAGGTCTTACCACTGCCCTCCTTACTGCCAGACTTCTATAACACAAGATGGATAGTCACCATCAACACACATACACTGAGTGTAAAAAAACATTAGAAACACCTTCCTAATACTGAGTTGGGGCATGGACTCTCGAAAGCGTTCCACGGGGATGCTGGTCCATGTTGACCAATGCTTCCCACAGTTGTGTCAAGTTGGCTGGATGTCCTTTGGGTGGTGGACCATTCTTGATACACACGGGTAAACTGTTGAGCGTGAAAAACCCAGCAGTGTTGCCGTTCTTGACACAAACCGGTGCGCCTGGCACCTACTACCATACCCCATTCAAAGGCACTTAAATCGTTTGTCTTGCCCATTCACCCTCAATGGCACATACACAATCCATGTCTCAATTGTCTCAAGGCTTAAAAACCCTTCTTTAACCGGTCTCCTCCCCTTCATCTACACAGATTGAAGTGGATTTAACAGGTGACATCAATAAGGAATCATAGCTTTCTCCTGGTCAGTCTACGTCATGGTTCCTAATGTTTTGTCCACTCAGTGTATGTTAGACAATAACAGAGCTCATTACATAGAAACAGTTTGATTAGGATTCTAGTGACAAGTGGTTCAGCAAGACTTTCCACATTCAAAGATTATATGTCTCCACAGAGGGTATGTCAGTGTATACAGTATAGAGGTCCTCTGTAGCTCAGCTGGTAGAGCACGGCACTTGTAACGCCAAGGTAGTGGGTTCGATCCCCGGGACCACCCATACACAAAAAATAATTTAAAAATGTATGCACGCATGACTGTAAGTCGCTTTGGATAAAAGCGTCTGCTAAATGGCATATTATTATTATATTATGAAACGTCTATTTGTCAGCAGTACTGTAGTCACAGCAGAGTAGAGGCAGTGGGACTCGCAGGTTTAGGTTTCTGCTGCAGTGTCTTTCTGGCCTTGGCAGCAGCAGCTTGAGCCTGGTGAATTTTCTCTGGATGGGGAAAGAATAATGGGTTGTAGTTAAAGTGTGTTGTAACACTTCTGCCCAAATGCGCAAAATGTCTGGTGGACCAGCGTGTCAAATTTGGCCTTCGTTAGCCAATACAGAGAGCCGGGAGAAACTCCCAGCGCATAGGCATTGGCTTAATCTACCAACCAATCATCTCCCACAACACCAACAGCACAGAGCCACGCCTCGCAGTCATGTGATTGGCTAAAATTAAATGATGACAAAATACTTTACTCAGTAGGACACTCCCACTAAGGCCAACTTTGAGTGGTTGATATCCCAGGCGTATATGCGCTGTGCACAATAGCCTGGGGACGAGGTTAGATTATTTGTAACAATTCCTATCCTATTCTTATCATTTTCCATTGGCAGAATGTGCTGCTCACCAAACTCCTCCTGACCGCGGTCGCGGTGCAGGTAGATCCACAGCTTGCGGCCGATGTCATACTTTACACAGGGGTCCTTCTCATAGTGCAGCCTGTCCAGAGCCCCACTCACAACCGTGTTCACCTGCAGGAAACAGCACATCAGGTGCCTTGCTCAGTCACAGCCAAACATACATCGACAGAAAATCATTTGACGCACATCTACAGTACCAGTCAAAAGTTTGGACACACCTACTCATTCAAGGGTTTTTCTTAATTTTTACTATTTTCTACATTGCAGAATAATACTGAAGACATCAACATTATGACATAACACATATGGAATCATGTAGTAACCAAAAAAGTATTAAACAAATCAAAACATATTTTATATTTGTGATTCTTCTTAACTGCCATTTTTTCATTAAATATAGACTTAAGAAGAAAGAAGCAAAGTTGCTATTCCTCAAAAAGGTTCTTGGAAATGTTATTGCGCTATTTCTTATGTTTCTCCTTAAGAAAAGAGTTAAGAAGAAATTAGATTCTTGAAAATAAAGTTATTGGAAATGTTCTTCATTTCAAGATTGCAAAACCCTTGTCTTAAACTCAGAGCAGAGAGAGAAAAAGCTCATGAAAGCAATTGAACATGTTTAATTCACTCACAAATTTCATCTGAAAGTTTCAGTATTGATTATTATAAACCCAATAACATGTTTTAGAACCGGAATCTCAGTAAGAAATATGCTAAAATGATTGCCATTGCTAGCTACATAGCTAGCAACAAACATCTTAAGAAGATTTATAAGAAGATATGAGAAGTTAGTAAGAAAATCATCAAATCTTAAGATATTGTTGAGGAATTGCACTTATGAACTTCTTTTTTTTTTTCTTAAGAAGCTTCTTTACATTTTTGCTTAAGAAGTGTTTTGTGAATCTGGGCCCAGGAATGCATTTCAATTAACAGGTGTGCCTTCTTAAAAGTTAATTTGTGGAATTTCTTTCCTTCTTAATGCGTTTGAGACAATCAGTTGTGTTGTGACAAGGTAGGGGGGTATACAGAAGATAGCACTATTTGGTAAAAGACCAAGTCCATATTATGGCAAGAACAGCTCAATAAAGCAAAGAGAAATGACAGTCCATCATTACTTTAAGACATGAAAGTCAGTGAATACAGAACATTTCAAGAACTTTGAAAGTTTCTTCAAGTGCAGTTGCAAAAAACATCAAGCGCTATGATGAAACTGGCTCTCATGAGGACCGCCACAGGAATGGAAGACCCAGAGTTACCTCTGCTGCAGAGGATAAGTTCATTAGAGTTACCAGTCTCAGAAATTGCAGCCCACATAAATGCTTCACAGAGTTCAAGTAACAGACACATCTCAACATCAACTGTTCAGAGGACACTGTGTGAATCAGGCCTTCTCGAATTGCTGCAAAGAAACCACTACTAAAGGACACCAATAAGAAGAAGATACCTGCTTGGGCCAAGAAACACGAGCAAAGGACATTAGACCGAAATTTATCCTTTGGTCTGGAGTCCAAATTGGAGACTTTTGGTTCCAACCGCTGTGTCTTTGTGAGACACAGTGTGTGTGAACGGATGATCTCCGCATGTGTATTTCCCACCATAAAGCATGGAGGAGGTGTTATGGTGCTTTGCTGGTGACACTGTCTGTGATTTATTTAGAATTCAAGGCACACTTAACCAGAATGGCTACCACAGCATTCTGCAGCGATACGCCATCCCATCTGGTTTGAGCTTAGTGGGACTATCATTTGTTTTTCAACAGGACAATGACCCAAACACACCTCCAGGCTGTGTAAGGGCTATTTTACCAAGAAGGAGAGCGATGGAGTGCTGCACAATCCCCCGACCTCAACCAAATTGAGAGGGTTTGGGATGAGTCGGACCGCAGAGTGAAGGAAAAGCATCCAACAAGTGCTCAGCATATGTGGGAACTCCTTCAAGACTGTTGGAAAAGCATTCCAGGTGAAGCTGGTTGAGTGTACAAAGCTGTCATCAAGGCAAAGGGTGGCTATTTGAAGAATTTCAAATATAAAATATATTTTGATTTGTTTAACACTTTTTTGGTTACTACATGATTCCATATGTGTTATTTCATAGTTTTGATGTCTTCACTATTATTCTACAATGTAGAAAATAGTAAAAATAAAGAAAAACCATTGAATGAGTAGGTGTTCTAAAACTTCTCACCAGTAGTGTATGTCAAAACATTGTGTATACGAGTGACAACAATAATCCAGTAACAGTGAGTATCTAACCTGAGCACTGGTGACATCTGGTGCCAGGAATTGAGAGTCCTTGAGCAGCTCACAGATCTCAGCCCTGGTCCCCTCTCCGTTGGGCAGCCGGGCTGCTGCGTCCCGCACTGAGGGAGAGGAGGAGGAGCAGACCAGTCATATACCGCACATCTAACCTAAAGCTACTGCAACAACATCCCACACTGATGACAGGGTCAGTCTTACCCAGGGAGAGGATGGTGACATAGGCTGGGCGGTCTGAGCGCAGAAGAGTGTGCTCTCTGGCCTTGTTAAGAGACATCTCCTTGTCAAAGACCCCCTTAACAGGCCCCACCACAGACTCAAAGCCATGCATTCTGAAGGTGAAGGCTTTGTGTGGCTGGTCATACCTATGCTGCTCCTGATGATCAAAACAAGAACATGGACACATAATGATTGCAGAGAATATGTGTGGTCTTTATAAATAATACTCAATACAGAAGAGATCCTAGACTAAAAGGTAGAGACGTGACACTGACCTGCACTTGAAAAACATGCCTCTGGTCTCCAGTGCTGGCCCGCACCACATAGTTTGTCCAACTGCTTAGTTACAGAGAGAACAGCAAACAGTATTACAATAAAATCCCTGTATGGCAATGAACACATACACTACCTAACCTCATTCTGAGTAAGGTCATCTGTGATACGAGTAACATGGAAACTTACACTCTAGGGGTGGGAGAAGTCATCTCTGTTAGTTCTTCACATTCTGTCTGTAGAGGACATCGTTATTTTATTCAAGTGTATTACAGGGAACAGAAAACGACCAGAGAGGAGAGGAGTGAGAGGTGAAAATGTGTAATTGTAATACCTTGACCACAACCAAGTCCTTGGAGTCGACCCACAGCTGACACAGAGCACTCAAATCCTTCTCTCCATCCGGACTGGGACCTTCGAGACGTGAGATTGAGAAATCTTTAAATCTCAAACTTCTGAAATATTTTCATTTGCAATGTGCCAGAATTTGGACAAATCAACTGACTGACCAAAAAAAAAAGAGATCTTACTAATCCATTTCCATTGCTGTGAGCTTTCCCTGAACGCCACATAGGGGGTGAAGCCACTGGGAATAACCATCATATGAACTGAATGAAGGAGTGGAAGATAGTGAGCGAAGAACAGAGAGTGAGATAAGAAAGATGAGGATGATATGACATATTACTGCTTTAATGATCCAGAGAAGAGGGAGTCTGCCGTGCTCACCTTTACTCTCCCCAGCCAGGAAGTGCAGGGCCGGCAGCACCATCTCTGACCAGCAGGAGGCCGAGGAGAACAAGGGGTTCAGGGAACTAGCTGGAGATGTCTGCCACCGTTGGACCTTCTCCTCCAACTAACAACAGGACATACATTAATCATTATACAGTGGGGAAAAAAAGTATTTATTCAGCCACCAATTGTGCAAGTTCTCCCACTTAAAAAGATGAGAGAGGCCTGTCATTTTCATCATAGGTACACGTCAACTATGATTTTTAATGAATTGATTTGCAAATTATGGTGGAAAATAAGTATTTGGTCAGCTACAAACAAGCAAGATTTCTGGCTCTCACAGACCTGTAACTTCTTCTTTAAGAGGCTCCTCTGTCCTCCACTCGTTACCTGTATTAATGGCACCTGTTTGAACTTGTTATCAGTATAAAAGACACCTGTCCACAACCTCAAACAGTCACACTCCAAACTCCACTATGGCCAAGACCAAAGAGCTGTCAAAGGACACCAGAAACAAAATTGTAGACCTGCACCAGGCTGGGAAGACGGAATCTGCAATAGGTAAGCAGCTTGGTTTGAAGAAATCAACTGTGGGAGCAATTATTAGGAAATGGAAGACATACAAGACGACTGATAATCTCCCTCGATCTGGGGCTCCACGCAAGATCTCACCCCGTGGGGTCAAAATGATCACAAGAACGGTGAGCAAAAATCCCAGAACCACACGGGGGGACCTAGTGAATGACCTGCAGAGAGCTGGGACCAAAGTAACAAAGCCTACCATCAGTAACACACTATGCCGCCAGGGACTCAAATCCTGCAGTGCCAGACGTGTCCCCCTGCTTAAGCCAGTACATGTCCAGGCCCGTCTGAAGTTTGCTAGAGTACATTTGGATGATCCAGAAGAGGATTGGGAGAATGTCATATGGTCAGATGAAACCAAAATATATAACTTTTTGGTAAAAACTCAACTCATTGTGTTTGGAGGACAAAGAATGCTGAATTGCATCCAAAGAACACCATACCTACTGTGAAGCATGGGGGTGGAAACATCATGCTTTGGGGCTGTTTTTCTGCAAAGGGACCAGGACGACTGATCCGTGTAAAGGAAAGAATGAATGGGGCCATGTATCGTGAGATTTTGAGTGAAAACCTCCTTCCATCAGCAAGGGCATTGAAGATGAAACGTGGCTGGGTCTTTCAGCATGACAATGATCCCAAACACACCGCCCGGGCAACGAAGGAGTGGCTTCGTAAGAAGCATTTCAAGGTCCTGGAGTTGCCTAGCCAGTCTCCAGATCTCAACCCCATAGAAAATCTTTGGAGGGAGTTGAAAGTCCGTGTTGCCCAGCGACAGCCCCAAAACATCACTGCTCTAGAGGAGATCTGCATGGAGGAATGGGCCAAAATACCAGCAACAGTGTGTGAAAACCTTGTGAAGACTTACAGAAAATGTTTGACCTGTGTCATTGCCAACAAAGGGTATATAACAAAGTATTGAGAAACTTTTGTTATTGACCAAATACTTATTTTCCACCATAATTTGCAAATAAATTCATTAAAAATCCTACAATGTGATTTTCTGGAGAAAAAAAATCTCATTTTGTCTGTCATAGTTGACGTGTACCTATGATGAAAATTACAGGCCTCTCATCTTTTTAAGTGGGAGAACTTGCACAATTGGTGGCTGACTAAATACTTTTTTTCCCCACTGTATCATTTTCAAGTCTTACAACAGTTCCAATTCAAAGTTCCAGTTCAGCTCATCACATACACCAGTGGTTCTCAAACTGGCGGTCCCCTGGGGGTCGTGGGAAGGTTTTGGGGGTGGGGTGGTCGCGAATGTAATACTGACCCATTTAATCTGGTTAATAACATAGGCCTACAGTATTGCACCAAATTCTTGTCTCAAAAACATCTAATCTGTGCTTCAGAACCAAAAAGTTGCGCGTCTTGACTGTTGACCAATGACCAAACGTCAGCATTGGTGGGCGCGCATATCTAGATTAGTGACCAGAAAGTACTTGCTTCATTTTCTCCCGATTTTGCCTGGCAAAAACTATTTCTCAATATAGCAGTACTTATGGGATTAAGATGTAACATATTCTGGCGAATGTATTAAGACATTTGTGAGGAAGTAAAAGACTACATTTCAGACTTTTCATCTGATCCTGCAACCTCTGCTGCATACAAGTAGGCTGTATCCTAGCTGTTTGCTCTGGACTCCAGAGAAATGGCATGATATCCCTAGTTGATTTTGGCTGCTAACATGAATGACTTTCAGCTAAAAATGCAGGTATAAAATGTAGTTTATTTCTGTATCTTGCATTATCAAAATGCATCACTGTTTATAGCTGTAATGACAGGATACATTTGCGCAGCGATTGTGCTTGTGCGCGGGCGGGGGTCACGAGGTTTGAACCACTCCTTTTTGGGGGTCGAGTGTCAAAAGTTTCAGAACCAAAGACATACACAATCCTGCCACCATGTCCCTAAACTTTTGCGTGGCAATGTACTTGTGTAGGTAGGCATGAGTGAATACCATGGCTGCGCTGGCGAGCCCCTCTAGTCTCAGGATATTCTCCAGCAGGTTGAAGAAGCTCACAGCAATCTCCTCCACCATGACAGGCCTGTTCTGCACCTCCTCCATCGGCCTGTAGGTGGCGATAGAAGACGACAGCAGGTCTATGCAGATTGAAAAGTATGGAGCGCAGTGTTCAATTGAATTCATGATAGTATCTAAATGTCTGTCGCACAGGAATATCAGTAAAGCTGTAATTTTGCTTCATTCATTAAATGTATAACCACAGATGTTCTAACATAACAATAGCATGTCAAGTTTCATTAGAAACTCTTGTCAGGTAAAAAATGTCATCTTTGTGGGATGAGTACATAGACTCACTCTTCCTTGACACTGGGCAGTGGAGTGACTGATGTGTCAGACAGAGCAGCTGTGATGTTAAGTGATGGAGCTGGTGCTTCTGAAGGCATCAGAGCCTCGCAGGGATCCTCAGACTCCACTTTAATTGTCCTCATCTTCTTCTTTCTCCCCTCCTCCCTCATCTTCCTCTTGGGCAGAGCCAGGTCAAACAGTGCTAGATAATAGAAGGTATAAGTTAAGATTGTTTCTACATTAGTTGTGAATACATTATTCAGAGGATCTTATAGAATCTAGCTATGTATGATTCATTTCGCTTTATGATTATGACGGTGGTGTTTTGGTCATGTACTCACCCATCATGGCGCCTTTACGACCTATGTTCACTCTAGACATCATGTCGCCCAGGTGGATGTCTGAGGTCATCAAATCTGGATGATCCTGTGCAAATAAGAATGACTAGGATTAGGATGCAAGGGAATGTTGTACAAGATGATATTAGGTAGACAGTGTCCCTCATATCTATTCATAAATTGATTTTATGATTCAAAAGGATGGCAGATTTCTGTGATGTTTTTGTTTATGGAGAAGCATAGAAGAAAGTAACCGGTTGCCGTCTCCTCTTCTCTCCATGTCTCCGTAGCATGGCTCTCATGTCCTTCTCTCCCAGCTCTGGCTTATCTGTGTGAGCAGACGTCACAAATCTTCTGTCAGTGTATCTGCAGAGTCTATACATGCACTACAGTAGCTGTATAGACAGACTGTAACTGACCTGTGGTCTTCATGTCCTGGGTGGAGAGACTGGGCAGAACCCTGACAAAGACAGTAGGTGTGGGAGAGGAAGGAGACTGAGGTGTTGGCAGCGAAGTGGCTGTACCTGCAAACACAAAGGACAACATTTGATTGGTTCAGATTTGGATTGACCCAAAGCAAACACTGAAAGACATGGCACTTATTCAATGCTGCTAAATGCAATTCAATTTCAACAATCTAGGCTGATGAAAGAAGACTCACCATCATCGTCAGATGAGGCATATCGGTCTCCACAGTCCGTTTTAACTTCCCTTATAGTATCCGGCACACTCTTCCTCTCACCCTCTGTTCCTGCATCTCACCAGGCATCTGGGTGGGGTACTTTCTCTTCACCGCGGTGTTAGGGCCACTGTGGACTGCCAACTCCAGTAGTTCCTAAACATAATAATATGAACATACTGAGGAAGGCCATTCACCTTGTGCTTGAGAGTGAAGCTTGGAGATGTCTGCCATACCTTTCTAGAGACCAGGATCTGTTTGAGGAGTTTGTGGTAGTACTGCTGAAAGGAGTAGAGCTGACGTTTTTTCTGGGACTTGGCACACAGATGTCTGTACTTGACCACTTCTGGATTAAAATGGCCATCTGGGGAGAGCACAGCGTCATACATTGTCCAGAAACGTACTCAAAATCAAGCAGTTTGAGAGAGATGGGGATTTTTTCTTTACCTCTGAACAGTTTCAGTTTCAAGGTGCAAGGGGTTTCCGAAGCAGAAGTTCTGGTTGTTGAAGAGGTCGCTGATGGTGCGGTCCTGCTCAGTAGTGTGGTAACAGTTGACGGAGATGCTGCCTCTGTTCATCTGTCAGTACTTTAGACCATGTGCCTTCACTCAGCACAGAGAAGAAGATTTCAGGCTGTTTGCAAAACAACAACATATACACAGAATTGTAAATTCAACAATCACTATACAGTAAACATAATGGATACACAGCATATGATCAGGGACAATTCTACGGTAACAGAATGATGCAGAGACTGATTATTCACTTTAAAAGTATGCCAAACAAAAACCATTGATTGCAAAGTTAAACAAACCATACAACTCTATGCACAAGGAATCATTTGAATAGAACATTTCACAAAAACACATTTCCTTGAAGAACAGTGCAGATGTAAAGTTTGGAAACAGAATGACGGTAGAATCTCCCTCAGTAAGAAAAATAAGATCTACTCTGAATTAAGATTCAAAGATGTCTGCAGAAAGAATGGGGTGTCAGCTATGATTATGACACCTTGAGTTTGGAAAAAATCTATTTAGGTTATTTTGAACTACAGTAAGTGAAGTGGATCAACACCCAGCAACAGAATGATGGTAACAGGATTACATCATGGGTCCCTGATCTGTACTCTACAGAAATGCCTAATTATGAATGTCATTCTCTTCATGAAAGGTACACAAAGGTAGAACATTTTAATATGCTCCTTTGTATGTTTGGGTATTATTTAACACACTGGCTATTATTCTAATGAGCTTCACCACCAAAATATACAAAATTTGGTTGGTCCGGACCAAATCTGTACCAAGGATAGACATATATATATATACACACAAAGGTATGTGGACACCCCTTCAAATTAGTGGATTTGGCTATTTCAGCCACACATGCTGACAGGTGTATAAAATCGAGCACACAGCCATGCAATCTCCATAGACAAACATTGGCAGTAGAATGGCCTTACTGAAGAGCTCATTGACTTTCAACATGGCACCGTCATAGGATGCCACCTTTCCAACAAGTCAGTTTGTCAAATTTCTGCCCAGCTAGAGCTGCCCCGGTCAACTGTAAGTGTTGTTATTGTGAAGTGTAAATGTCTAGGAGCAACAAGCCTCAGCCGCGAAGTGGTAGGTCACACAAACTCACAGAACGGGACCACGGAGTGCTGAAATGCATCAAAATCGTCTGACCTCGGTTGCAACACTAACTACCGAGTTCCAAACTGCCTCTGGAAGCTACGTCAGTACAATAACTGTTCGTCGGGAGCTTCATGAAATGGGTTTCCATGGCCGAGCAGCCGCACAAAAGCCTAAGTTCACCATGCGCAATGCCAAGCATCGGCTGGAGTGGTGTAAAGCTCAATGCCATTGGACTCTGGAGCAGTGGAAACGCCTTCCCTGGAGTGATAAATCACGCTTCACCATCTGGCAGTCCAATGCACAAATCTGGGTTTGGCGGATACCAGGAGAATGCTACCTGCCCCAATGCATAGTGCCAACTGTAAAGTTTGGTGGAGGAGGAATAATGGTCTGGGGCTGTTTTTCATTGTTCGGGCTAGGCCCCTTAGTTCCAGTGAAGGGAAATCTTAATGCTACAGCACACAATGACATTCTAGATGATTCAGTGTTGGGGAAGGCCCTTTCCTGTTTCAGCAAGACAATGCCCCCATGAACAAAGCGAGTTAAGTGGTTAAGTGTGCCTTGAATTCTAAATAAATCACTGACAGTTTCACTAGCAAAGCACCCCCACACCATCACACCTCCTCCTCCATGCTTCACGGTGGGAACCACACATGCAGAGATCATCCGTTCACCTACACTGCGTCTCACAAAGACACGGCGGTTGGAACCAAAAATCTCAAATTTGTACTCATCAGACCAAAGGTCAGATTTACACCGGTCTAATGTCCATTGCTTGTGTTTCTTGGCCCAAGCAAGTCTCTTCTTCTTATTGGTGTCCTTTAGTAGTGGTTTCTTTGCAGCAATTTTGCAGCAAAGTTCTAGGCCCTCTCCTATTCTCGCTATACACCAAGTTACTTGGCTCTGTCATATCCTCACATGGCCTCTCCTATCATTGCTGTAGACCCCCCAGCCTAGCTAAACCTGCCTTAGATAGCTCATTTGTCCCTCCCCCTATACACGCGGAGACCGACTCAATTGATGCCTCCAGCGATGCTATCTCTTTCATTGTTACCCAACGCTTAGGTTTACCTCCACTTTACTCATATCCTTCCATATCCTTGTCTGTACATAATGCCCTGAATCTTTTCTATAACACCCGGAAATCTGCCCCCTTTATTCTATGTACCCAACGCACTAGAAGACCAGTTCTTAAAGCCTTTAGCCGTATCCTTATTCTAGTCCTCCTCTGTTCCTCTGGTGATGTAGAGGCTAACCCAGGCCCTGCAGCCCTCAGTATCACTCCTACTCCCCAGGCGCTATCATTTGCTGACTTCTGTAATCGCAAAAGTCTTGGTTTCTTGCACATAAATATCAGAAGTCTACTTCCTAAGTTTGAGTTATTCACTGCGTTAGCACACTCTGCCAACCCTGATGTTCTAGCAGTGTCTGAATCCTGGCTCAGGAAGGCCACCAAAAATTCTGAAATTTCCATCCCCAACTATAACATTTTCCGTCTAGATAGAACTGCCAAAGGGGGTGGAGTTGCAATCTACTGTAGAGATAGCCTGCAGAGCTCTATCATACTATCCAGGTCTGTGCCCAAACAGTTTGAGCTTCTACTTCTAAAAATCCACCTTTCCAGAAATAAGTCTCTCACTGTTGCCGCTTGCTACAGACCCCCCTCAGCCCCCAGCTGTGCCCTGGACACCATATGTGAATTGATTGCCCCCCATTTATCCTCAGAGTTTGTACTGATTGGTGACCTAAATTGGGATATGCTTAATACCCCAGCCATCCTACAATCCAAGCTAGATGCCCTCAACCTCACGCAAATTATCAACGAACCTACCAGGTACAACCCTAAATCCGTAAACATGGGTACCCTCATAGATATCATCCTGACTAACATACCCTCTAAATACACCTCAGCTGTCTTCAACCAGGATCTCAGCGATCACTGCCTTATTGCCTGCGTCCGTAACGGGTCCGCGGTCAAACGACCACCCCTCATCACTGTCAAACGCTCCCTAAAACACTTTAGCGAGCAGGCCTTCCTAATTGACCTGGCACAGGTATCCTGGATGGATATAGATCTCATTCCGTCAGTAGAGGATGCCTGGTTGTTCCTTAAAAGTAATTTCCTCTCAATCTTAAATAAACATGCCCCATTCAAAAAATACAGAACTAAGAACCGATATAGCCCCTGGTTCTCCTCAGACTTGACTGCCCTTGACCAGCACAAAAACATCCTGTGGCGTACAGCATTAGCATCAAATAGCCCCCGCGATATGCAACTTTTCAGGGAAGTTAGGAACCAATATACACAAGCAGTCAGGAAAGCAAAGGCTAACTTTTTCAAACAGAAATTTGCATCCTGTAGCACTAACTCCAAAAAGTTTTGGGACACTGTAAAGTCCATGGAGAATAAGAGCACTTCCTCCCAGCTGCCCACTGCACTGAGGCTAGGAAACACTATCACCACCGATAAATCTACAATAATCGAGAATTTCAACAAGCATTTTGCTACAGCTGGCCATGCTTTCCATCTGGCTACCACTACCCCGGCCACCAACTCTGCACCCTCTGCTGCAACTTGCCCATGCCCCCCCCGCTTCTCCTTCACACAAATTCAGACAGCTGATGTTTTGAAAGCGCTGCAAAATCTGGACCCCTACAAATCAGCTGGGCTAGACAATCTGGACCCTTTCTTTCTAAAACTAGCCGCCGAAATTGTCGCAACCCCTATTACTAGTCTGTTCAACCTCTCTTTCATAACGTCTGAGATCCCCAGAGATTGGAAAGCTGCCGCGGTCATCCCCCTCTTCAAAGGGGGTGACACTCTAGATCCAAACTGCTACAGACCTATATCCATCCTGCCCTGCCTTTCGAAAGTATTTGAAAGCCAAGTTAACAAACAGATCACCGACCATTTCGAATACCACCGTACCTTCTCCGCTATGCAATCCGGTTTCCGAGCTGGTCATGGGTGCACTTCAGCCACGCTCAAGGTCCTAAACGATATTATAACCGCGATTGATAATAGACAGTACTGTGCAGCCGTCTTCATCGACCTGGCCAAGGCTTTCGACTCTGTCAACCACCGCATTCTTATTGGCAGACTAAATAGCCTTGGTTTCTCAAATGACTGCCTCGCCTGGTTCACCAACTACTTCTCAGATAGAGTTCAGTGTGTCAAATCGGAGGGCCTGTTGTCTGGACCTATGGCAGTCTCTATGGGGGTGCCACAGGGTTCAATTCTTGGGCCGACACTTTTCTCCGTGTATATCAATGATGTCGCTCTTGCTGCTGGTGACTCTCAGATCCACCTCTACGCAGACGACACCATTTTGTATACATCTGTCCCTTCATTGGACACTGTGTTAACAAACCTCCAAACGAGCTTCAATGCCATACAACAATCCTTCAGTAGCCTCCAACTGCTCTTAAACACTAGTAAAACTAAATGCATGCTTTTCAATCGAACGCTGCTGGCACCCGCCCACCCGACTAGAATCACCACTCTCGACGGGTCTGACCTAGAGTATGTGGACAACTACAAATACCTAGGTGTCTGGTTAGACTGTAAACTCAACTTCCAGACTCACATAAAGAATCTCCAATCCAAAGTTAAATCTAGAATCGGCTTCCTATTTCGCAACAAAGCCTCCTTCACTCATGCTGCCAAACATGCCCTCGTAAAACTGACTATCCTACCGATCCTCGACTTCGGCGATGTCATTTACAAAATAGCCTCCAACACTCTACTCAGCAAATTGGATGTAGTCTATCACAGTGCCATCCGTTTTGTCTCCAAAGCCCCATACACTACCCACCACTGTGACCTGTACGCTCTTGTTGGCTGGTCCTCACTACATGTTCGTCGTCAAACCCACTGGCTCCAGGCCATCTATAAATCACTGCTAGGCAAATCCCCGCCTTATCTTAGCTCATTGGTCACCATAGCAGCACCCACCCGTAGTCTGCGCTCCAGCAGGTATATCTCACTGGTCATTCCCAAAGCCAACACCTCCTTTGGCCGCCATTCCTTCCAGTTCTCTGCTGCCAATGACTGGAACG